GAGAAGAAAAGAGGAAAAAAGGAAAAGAAGGAAGAAGAAGAAGAAGAATAAGAATAAGAATAAGAATAAGAAGAAGAATAAGAAGAAGAAGAAGAAGAAGAAGAAGAAGAAGAAGAAGAAGAAGAAGAAGAGAAGGAAAGAAGAAGAAGAAGAAGAGAAGGAAAGAAGAAGAAGAAGAAGAAGAAGAAGAAGAAGAAGAAGAAGAAGAAGAAGAAGAAGAAGAAGAAGAAGAAGAAGTGCTCGACACGGCACGCCGACAACCCGACAACCCGACTTTCATCACTGTTCTTAAATCAATCCGTGTCAGGCAACCGAACCATAGATCCTGCTTTGGCCAACCCTCAATTACCAATTTCTTACTATCTAACCTAGCTTTTTTCCATCTATCTAACCTTTGTCTATGAAACCTCGAATGCCTCTATACAGTGACGAAAATAGCTTCGAACCTTGATTGTGTGTGTTCGTGCCAACTCCAATAGAGCATTTGGCCCTGTGAGACACAACCGATCCTTTGCTTCCTTCTCACTCAGCTTTTTGACTCAACAGTCCCCTTTAGGGTGTTTGTCAGTGGCGTCACCCGATAGGGTGTGTGCCCGACAACCTGACAACCCGACACCCCGAAACCCCGACACCCCGACACCCCTACACCACGACACCCAGACAGGACACCCCCGAAACCCCGACCCCGACATGACACCCCTACCCCGACACGACACCCCGACACCACGACACCCAGACACGACACCCCGACACCCCCGACCCCGGACACCTCTTCGGCCTCCAGTTGACCGAAAAGGTGCTCTTCGTCCTTCTAGAGGCTGACCGGGTCATATATTGGTGAATTATGAGTTAGGTCATATATTTTTCGATTTTGTTATAAAACATCATATTTGTGTTGGACGGGTGGATTTAAATGTGCAGTTGTTTCGTCGTTGCGAGGGTCTGGTGTTCGACGACCTCCCCGTGCATTCGACGAGCTCCGCCCCTGCGTTCGTGGGTGAGCACAAATGACATCTCCTCCTTCCCCCTTCATTTGCTCTGTTCCGGTCTTCGTGCTGATGAAACTTGCTAGCTATAAGTGTTTTCAATCATCAGTATGTGTGACCACTATGCGTCTCCCGTTTGAAAGGGTTACATCTATAAATATGCATGCATTTGCATATTTATAACCGTGATTCTTTCGAGTTGTCCAACTTTATCCATGGACAACCTGAGTATGTGTAGATTGGGTTCATTTTCCCATATGCTCTGCTCCGGATTCGATGCAGAATTTCGCCAGTGCCTCCCTGTTGTTCTCTGGGTACACATCCTCTCTGCTTATTGCCGAGACATGTATCAGGAGAACAACGGGGAGGTGCTGCCGAAATTTTGCATCGGATCCGGAGCAGAGCATGGGAAAACGAACCCAATCTACACATTCTCGGGTGGGATTAGGGCCTATCTTTACCTATTAGCGTCTAGGTTGCATGGACGTAATAAAACTCACAAACTCCATTAACTGATGAATATGTTTTGCTGAATTATGTATATATTTTTTGTCTATCCAGTAGCTAGGCAAGATGAGTGATCGTGCGTGGATGTACACCGGTCGCACTAGTCAGGAAGACATGACCGGTGAATGGTTAACAAAAACCAAGGGGTTTGTGAGAGCCGCATTTGCAAATGGCCAAAGAAAAACCTGGTGCCCCTGTGTCCGGTGCAACAACTATCATAGGAGGAACGAGCTTGAAATGAGTAAACACATGCAGAAGTTTGGTTTTACGCCTGCTTATATGGTCTGGACATTTTATGGTGAGTCTGCCCAACGTGCCAGAGCCGAGGTGGTTCGTCGTTGCACCGACGAGCATGGTACTGGGATGGAAGACATGGTGCAAAAATTTGATGATGCTCGGGACTCGGACGATGAGATGGAGGAATTTGCAAAGGCCTTCAATGAAATGTTGGAGTCTTCAAAACGTCCTCTCCACGAGCACACT